AAGGCCTGGAAATGGCCTCCTATCTTTGCCTTTTTACTGACAGAACCAAGCTTGGTTGCCTAGCAACAGCCACTGAGGGAAAAGTTAGTCCCACAGGAGCCTGCAGGAGAAGTGTTTTTGTCAAGAAGGCAGCCGTTTCGACAGTTTATTCTGTGAGGGGAAAGTGTCTAGGCTGGCAGTGGGCAGGGGAGAGGAGCAGCCCCAGCACCCAGCCAATGGCACACGAGTATTCAAGTGACAGTTAATGGACCAATGGCTGATAGAGTGCACAGCCACCACCCCCTATATGGAAGGCCTGACCACCAGGTTGTGACATCATCAAATGTAGGCATAACATTCCCTGAGCTCTGCAGTTTCCAGCTACTGTCACAAGTGTTTTAACTTGCAGTTTCTCATGTACCCAACAAGATATTCTCTTGATTCTTTCACTGCAGTATTCCAGACACTTCACACTAGCTTACAGTGTTACTGAGTTCAGTTTCCCTTGCATATTTGAGTGCATGTTTCGTATAATTTTACAAGCATATAATAGGGGAAAGTGGTGGATGCTGTTGTATGATGGTATTGTCAATTCTTTTTTTTTTATAAAGATTTTATTGACTCCCCTAAAAAGGGGAGGTATTTCGCTTAAAAGAAGAAGTGGGAAGGGAAGACAGTGGGAGAAAGAGAAAGCTGAGTGATATATAAACTGGTAAATTAAACTGTTAGTAATGTCCAATTAATCTTCTTGGGCTTCTTCTGTGTGTTGTCAAACTTCTTTTCTTAGTCCGGTCACATGTAATTCTCTGTTAGTATGTTAGTAAAATGTTCCTTTGAATTTCTGTTTAAAAAAGTCTCTTCTGGGCGCATTCAGAACCGCTTCTTTGCGTGCTGGGTATTTTTACTGTCGCTGACATGAAGGAGCTTCCTCTGTTATCTTCTCCTTCCGACTTGTTCGATCGTCCTTCGGGTTGCTGCTAACACTCTCAGTTCATGCACTATAAATCCTCTTCCTTTCATGCCATTTCAGGAGGTCCCCGGCTTTGAGAATGGTATTAATTTCATTTTCGCTTTTGTATCCGCTCCCAAACTCTCTGCCGGGTCCTCCTCGCAACTGTTGACTTATATAAGCGCTTGCCAGGCACTAACTCCTCGCTGTCACAGTTCAAACTTTTCCGTTTTACAAAACTCCCGTCGGATTCACAGCCATAAACAGTCCAAACATTAAAAAGCCGGCTCTCACACACAAGCAAACGCCCAGACGGAAGTCCCTCCCTTCTTCTCCGCTCGTTTTTGCCCAGCTCTGACATCTTTTCTTTTTTTGTTTACTTTTAGAAAGTTCTTAAAGTGTGCTCCAGAGAGACAAAACTTTTTCTCGCTTTGTTTCAAA